ATTCTACATTAGCACCTTTCATCATGTTACATTAATTTTTCATCATATAACTATCTCTTCCTTTTGTAACTGCAAGATAAGTAAGAATTCTTTTTTTGGGGGGGGGTGCGGGGCCTGAACTCTGGGCCTGCTCACTGTCCCTCAGCTCTTCAGCTCAAGAATAGCACTCTAGCACTTGAGCCACAGCACCACTTCCAGCTTTTTTTTTTTTTGCTTATGTGGTGCTGAGGAATTGAACTCAGGGCCTCATGCATGCAAGGCAAGTGCTCTACCACTGAGCCACCATCCCAGCCGAATAAGTAAGAATTCTATTTCATTTATCTATGTATCGTTTACTAGAGGAATAAAAATTCAAGAAAATTATACTTCTTGAACTCCATGAACATTTTAATATATTTGTTGTTTCCATTAATGATGACTAATCATGCAGAGGGCTTAAAATGACTGAAACTTGAATGATAACTAAAATGAACTCTTCGGATTGTTTTTATATGTAGTTATCAAAAATATGCAATATATTGATATTTGTATTCATTTTTGATTTGTATAATAGAATGTAGCAAACAACATATATACAGTCACTTTGATTTCCATCTATCTACAAGATTCTCTACCTCTCTGTATTCAGTAAATTTTCTTGAAAAGTCATATATAAAACTGATCACAGTGACCTACACCTGAAATCCCATGTGGAGGTGGGAGGGTCCTGGTCTGAGCCTGGCCCAGGAAAGAGCATGAAACCTTATGTGAAAGACCAAGTAAAGGAACAGAGGACTGAGAGCCTTGCTCAAATGATAGAGCACTCGCCTAGCAAGGGCAAGGTCCTGACTTCAATCCCCAATACTGATTCTTTAAAACAACAACAACAACAAAAGCAAATCATTATAAATAAAAACATCAAATACTTGCACCCTCTCTTTCCCCTGACTTCTCATTTCTTCCCCAAGCCACTCAAAAATAGAACATTTCTACCTGCTGATCTGGTAAGCCTTTTATGGCAAATACTACCAATGACCTCTACATGATCAAAACCATGGGATATTTTTAACTGTTACTTATTGATTTTCTGTGTTCTTTGACAGTGTGAAATCCCCTGTGAATCCCACACTGTCTTGACTCTGGCCCTCACCTTTACAAACCACCGTTTTCATCAGCTGTGTTAGAAGATCTCCTTCCTTGTCCCATTCTTTAATCCCTGGTATTACCTAGGGCCCTAGGCTATTTTTCTATTTGATGATGTCACCTATTTCTCCATTTCATGAGTGCTTCAGGTTCATAGATTCAAATATTCGCTGTATCTACACCTTTATATACATTACAAGTACCACAAACCACTATGTCAAAATCTGAACTTAACCACTGCACATATTGTCTGATGCGACTAACATCTTTAACTTCTTCATCAAGGTCTCCTTCACTCAAACTATTAACATGAAGTTCCCGTGTCACCCTTCCCCCTCAAAAATGTTCCTTACAAACATGTTAAACTGTCTATGAAGCATCACCTGTATCACTTCTTACCCCACATTGGAAGTGTCTCCATGGACTTCCATCATGCCAAATCAAGACCATCACATCACTGGACTATTGAAGTAATCTGCTGGCTGAATTAATTGCCTCTGGTTTTGCAAACATCACATCTATACTCAATTTTTCCCTACTTGTGTCAAATAATGTAACAGATACTTCATACACAGACACATTTATGAATATTATGCAAATCTGGCTATCCCAGTATCTTAGTTGAATTTCATTAGTGTAATTCACATAACTTAATGTAACATATATTAAATGTTATATTTGACCCACTTATCACATACAGAATTCTAAATTCTGTCATATGTTACTAATCTTACCCACTTACATTTTCTATTCTATCTCATTAAAAAATTTCAAACAATTTCTACTTACTAGTGCTTGTTGTTTTTGGATACACTTACAGGTAGTGAATTGTAACTTGTAAGCATTTCCCTATAGGCTAAAAGCCCATCTTTTAAAAATCCCTACTTTTAAATTGCTCTTTCTGTATCTAACTAGAAAGCCATTTATGCATTTATGGACAGCTCAATTCACAAATATCTCTCTACCAAAATTAACAGAAATAAGGAATAAATTTAGACTCTAAATTTTTTCAGTCACCTTCAGAGAAGTGAACTATTTTAATCCAAGGAGCACAGAGGGAACAAAAAAACTATCATAAAGGAAAAGGCAAAGGTCCTATTACTGTTGTCCTTCCCCAATAAACTCAGAAGAGACACCAGGAAAGTTTTACTAGGTTCTATCCTAGTTATGACAGATTTCCACAACTGTAAGTCTGAGGTTTTTTGTTTTATGTTTTTTTTATAAGGAAAGAAGGGGAAAAACGTCAGGTTGGAAAAAATAAGAATTGTCACTGTTTATCTAATAAAGTCCAGTTTAACACTGAAATTGGAATGAATGGGACCAATTTAAATGGAACTTAGTGGGTTTTGAGGGGTGCTCAGTGGTAGCATACTTGCTTAAGCAAGTACTGTGTATAGGCACTGGGTTCAATTCCCATCATCACAAAATAAAAAAGTGAAAAATAAATATCATTGAAACTTAATAAATGGCATAGAAATAATTTAAAATCTACCTTAGTTCCCCAAAATTCTTTCTCAGAAATAACTTTAATCCCAATGAAGTTTTCTAACTACTAGAACAGAAGATGTGAAGGAAAGACCTAGGTTTTCTGTGAATTATCAAGGAAAGTTCTAGCATAGGAAATAGCTTTAGATAAGATCATTTACAGAATTTGATCTCAGGCTTGGTGGAATGTTCTTGAAGACCCAGCTGTTCAGAAAGTTGAGGCAGGAGGAGCACCAGCCAGGGAAACCTAGTGACACCACACTTCAAAAGAAATAAAGATAATAATGGCCTGAGAGAAGGCTCATATGATACAGTGCCTGAGCAGCAAGTACAAAGCCTTGGGTTCAAAGTCCAATATTGCCAAAAAAGTATAGGAAAAAATATAGAAAAGGATATATAAAATTCTTCTTTCATATTTTTTTGCTTTTATCAATGCAATCATAAATCACTTTTACTGTTCTTAGAACTATTTCCTGGAAAATCCTATAGTTAATTAAATGTAGAAGATGATATTCAAATATGTTATTGAAAAAATCTATAACACATCTACTGAGCCTCTGGAATATCATTTTAAATGTTATAGCTGAAGTTTAAATAACTTCAAATTATTTGTTCCTGTATGTAATACACCAAACATAGGCATTCAATGATCAACAAAATGGGAAACAAGTCATAGAGAAGAAATTAAATTTATGAACTCTTGAGTTTTAAATGCACCTTGCTCTGACATAAAATGTGAAACCCTCTAAATATTCAGTGGAATAAAATAGCACAACCAATCTTCTGAATAAAATTATATTCCTGATAAAAAATGATTTTTATTTAATTTTTATCATTGTTAATAGAAAATTGTCATAGCAAAATAGTCACCAAAATTTAATTTTTCTTTCTAGCCCTTTTATTGCTGTATCACTTTATTTTGGTTTACATGAAAGAATTCTAAGATGGCTGAAGAAATCTGTGGAAAAATCACCCTGAAGAAATGGTATTACTCCTTTCAACAACTACCTTACTGTTTAATAAAATTGATCCTAGGAAGCTGGAACTTAGGTTTAAGAGGTGTGAAGTGGAGGAGAGGCCAAAAGAATGCAGAGAGCAAGTGGGAAAATGCAATCATAGTATTCAATGTACACATATGAAAACAGAACTAGGAAAATTGAAGGAATGGGTGGGGTTGGGGGAGACCAGGAAAATGATCAAAGAGATGACAATGATCAAGATGCATTGAACTCAGAAACTGACATGTTGAAATCAAATCTCTCTGTCCACTACTAGAAGATAGTTTTAAAAATAAAGAAAAAGTCATATTTCTTCCAAAGCTTTTGCCACAGGCCTTGGAAAAAAGCATTTTCCCAGTCATAACTACATGGCTGTAGTGCTTAGGCTAAGAATATTGCTGGTGCTATTGCTGCTGAGACATTTAAAAGAAATTTTAACTTTTCCTACACAGAACATCTCTATATTCAGAGAACTGAATGAATAATTTACTCTGCAGACTACCAATACTCTTTACATTTTATCTTATCAAATGCCATATTTGAAGTTAGTGTTTACATAATTTGTTTCTTCTCTATGCCCTGTGGTTGATCACTTAATAATCAGCCATACCTACACCCAAGAAAGCAATAATAAAAATAAAACTCTTTTAATTATCCATTACCTTTAAGTAATAAGTAATATAATGAAAGTTATTCCTTTATTGATACATCCTGCCTACCCAACCCCTACCCCATCCTCTCTTAATATCTTATTTGTAGAATGATTTTACTTCACTAAAGTTTTGGTGTGTGTGTGTGTGTGTGTGTGTGTGTGTGTGTGTGTGTGTGTGTGTGTGTGTGTTGGGACTAGAGCTTGAACTCAGAGTATTATAGATTCATTTAGCTTATTTCTCCCCTCTCATTAGTGCAACACCTTAATTTTGGCTTTTTGGTGGTTAATTGGAGATAAGGGTCTCACACACTTTCCTGTCTAGGCTGGCTTTGAACCTTGATTCTCAGAGTTCAACTTCCTGAGTAACTAGGATTATAGATGAGTCATGAACACTCAGCGCTTTCCTAAAGTCTTATACTCCAACCCACATGCCTTTTGAAACCAAAAATAAATGAATAAGAAAAAATAATGACAACTGCTACTATTCTTTAGCCCGAAGATTATGTTTCCCTTGCCTCTAATTATTTGGAGCCTGTAATATAGCATTATTATTTCATAAAAACACTTGATTCAGAGCTCATGTTTCCAGATAAATTTATCTAATTAGTAGTCTTTTCTAGTATGCACATACCAGAAAAGCCAGAGTATCTACTCCAACATGCAATGTGAATTAATCAATCTGTACCCAGTGATCTGTGTAAGAGAGTACATTTTTCAGTCAATAAAACCAATGCCATACTTACGGTGGAGGTTGGTGGGGCTGGCTTTCAGCATTTCTTGGTGTTTTGCAGGCAGCAGGCTTCGCCATGTCCCTGACAACACACCTGGGGCGCATGATAGACAGCACAACGCACTATTAATTATAACAGGGTAGAACAAATTAAACACCATACTGAAAACACACTCTAAGGGAAAGTCTTTGCAAGCCCCTTCAGTATTAACCTTCAGGTTCTAGAAAGGGCTATGGAGTTGCATATCTTTGTGGCTTCCACTCAGTTAGACCCAAATAAAGTCTGTGCTGGCCTCCACATTTGAATTTCCTTTAAGTATCAGTAAAATGATTGTCAGCAACTTTCCCCATAGCAGAAAAGCTAATGAAAGATTTGCCCTTACCATGTAAAGATATCTAAAAGCTTAAAAATAGGAACCGCTGTTGGGTTTGATATATTAAAAATAAACCAGCATATTCTATGGTGTTGGCTATTTTACTAAAAGACATAGACTCATGCTTCACACTGTTAATCACCACATAGCAGACCCTAACAAGCCTCCAGACATCCTGTGTTTCAAATCCCCTCCCTACAAAAGAGAAATAACAGTTGGAAGGAAATTTGCACCTATGAAATGTATATCTGTTGGTATATATGTAAAATAAGAAAAGATATTTCTAAAATGCAAAAGAAAAAATTTTAAAATGATTCCATGCCTTAAATCTTTTGCCACAAAATAAATGCAGAAAGCAGACAGTATACCACAAACCCAAAGTGCAGCAGACATAGATGGCCTTTCTTACTCTGAGGGAACCGGGCTTATTGAGCATGGGGTAGAATCACTGGGCAGAATTAGAAAGGAACTTTAATTTGCAGCTGTACTTCTAAAACATGGATATTCCTTCACCTCCAAAGCTTTAAATCAAACCCAACCATAAGTAAGGGAAACCTTTCTGATAAAACCGAGACCCTACACCTACACCTACACCCTTCCCTAAGGGGAACTGTTCCTTAAGATCCCCACATTCCTGGAACGTTTTTGTGGAAGCTTCTTGGAGATTTGATGACACTGCCAGTCTTTTTTTTTTTTTTTCCAGATATGGGACATTGGTGAAACAGTGCTTGATTCACTATTTTCCCAAAGCTAGAAGCTGCATGGCAAAATTCTCCACTTCTGAAAGAAATGATACAGGGAAACAAGGACACAATGCACAGCAACAGACACACACAGACACAACACACACACACACACACACACACACACACACACACATACACACTCACTGCTTATTCCAAACAAGATCAGACAAGACTCAGAAATCACTATATAGCACAACAAGAAAGAAAACAGTGCCATTTCCAAGCCTCAACACACCTGGTGGTCAAAATAAAGGTAAAGAAATGTGATGTTAACAGCTATTGGTAAACTCTCAATGGATTGGCGAGAAACATCTACAGGATCTATAAAACCTTCTCCAGGGGGAGAAAGCCCTTCAGGAAACTTCAATGAAGGAAGTTGTTAGAATAAACAATATATTAACGTTTCTGAACCCTGGAATTTCATTCTAACTTATATTAGATAGAGAAAGTAGCACAGAAAAATCATGAACAATTCTCAGTTAATTAAAAATAGCCTAGGCAGTATATTTAATCTACATGAGCTGGTGTGTGAAAATATCTAAAATATCACCAACTTAGAAAAATTGTGAAAAATTGTAAGTATGAAAAATCTTGTTTCCTCTCTTTGATTTTTCTCTTCTCAAGTCCCAGACATTTATATAAAACATCAGACTAAAAGAAATCAGCTGGGCACAGTAGCTCAAGTTTATAATCCTAGCATCTTGGGAGAAAGATGGGAGGATTGAAGTTAGAGGCTAGCCATCTCAACCAATGACTGGGTGCGGTGATGTGTGCCTGTCATTCTCAGCAACATGAAGAAACACAAATAAGATTATGTAAAGACTAGGCCTGGCACATGAAAGACCTAATCTGAAAAATATCAATGAAAAATGGGAACTGGAGATATGGCTGCTGTCTAGGAAGCCTGAGGCCCTGAGTTCAATCCCCAGTACCACCCCAGTAAATAATAATAATGATACTTTAATCCCCAATACTTCTATCACCTAGTGGTTCTTTTACATATGCTCTGAAGTGATTATTTTCTAAGAAATTAAGAATACCAAGCTTGGGTGGGTTCCTAAACCAATTTTTCTCCCAAATGCAAGCCTTTGCAAGAGCATTTATCTAACCTCAAAACCCAGTGAGTTTGTTTGTTCTGTTTTCAAACTTGAGTTTTAAATTACAGTAGTTGACATTCCTCTCAGCATATGCTAAAGAATATTTCTGATATCAAAACCTCAAGTTGAATTTCTGAATATTACTTTTATTGGATAATAGAAACAAGTCTACTACTCTTCAAAAATTACATGTTTAGAATTTAACTTATCCTAAAACAATAGAATACCACATTTCATAATGATCTCACCCTGACCACAAGACACATATCACTAGAGATGTAGCAGCTATTGAATCTGAATTTTTTTTAGATTGCTAATTAATCAATATCTTAATCATAATAATATGTACTTACATTTCTAATCTGAATTGTTTTATATAAAAACTCTTTCTAGATTTAAGAAAGTATCCAACGGTTAGAACAAGGCATACCAAGGTTACAGTATTATAGCTCATACGATGTTCATTACCTTGTATAGATTATTTCTCTAAAATTCAGTTATAATCAAATTGTGTCTCAGTTTAAAGTGGCAGGAACCAGATAGCTCTAATGTATGTTTAGTCCTAACAACTGCCATTGTTTTCTAGGCATTAGACATAATATAATAGGGACCTCTTTTTCTTCAAGAAACACAGCAATGGCATTTCAGTAGGTTGCAGCATTATGCTTGATGGCCTCCTACAGCTAGACACATATTGGGAGACCACAAATGCTGTTCTAATGCTAACTTCCTGGAATCACCACTGCTTGAAGGTCAGGAGCTTTAACCTCTTAGTCTTTGTGATGCCTTTAATGACAGAGAATTTAACAAATATGGACTCTGAATAGCCTTATAACTGCTTATAAGCATTCTCAAGGTTTGCTGAAGACTTATGCAAATGAGATATTCTGCAACCACCTCAGGGGAATGCTCCTCCTGACTCCACCCTCAGCACTGCTGGATTTTATGAATGACTGCAATCAAATCGATGAATGGCTGCCAACTGCCCACTCAGCCACTTCTACTCTTCCGTGCACGTACACACAGGAGGAATTCATATTGCCACAAGCCTGCAGATGAGGCTGTGTAAGGCTTTCATCTCTCCAAACAGGAACTAAATGTGCTTCCAGAAACTTAGAGTATGTGAATTAAAAATTCTAAATGCCTTCAAGAAATACAATTTACATAATTACTTTCTCTCCTTTGACTTTCCATTTTGGTGCCTGCAATCACTAACCTCTATCCACAGACACACACACACACAGACACAGAGACACAGGCACACACACACACACACACACACTTACACACACACCACACACTATTATTTTATGAAACTTTAACTCAATAAATAGCCTTGCATTATTTCATAACTGTGCTTACTATATCATAAACTGACAAATAGTAGATTATAGCTCTACATATTTTAGCTCTTTCTTAAAGTTTTTGAATTTTGAGAGACAATAATTAATTCCATGCATGTGGGGGAAATGAGGGTGTATGTGTCAACTTCCAAATTGTTACTGTGCTAGCCCAATAATACCCAAGGTGTATAGAGATAAGATGTCCTAGAGAATTAGGCAGTGACAACTGAAACAACTAAGAATAGGCAAAGGAAACATTTTACAAATATATAATCTTCTGATTTGTGGTTACTGATTTACCATATATAGAATCATTTAAAAAAAAAATCAAAGAAGAAGAGTCTATTGGTCCACACTGCTTTCTCAACCTCCCATTCCATGTTTCAAGTCTCACATCAATGTGTTGAAAGCCCAAAGGTATTCACATCACTTGTGGAATTCCTGTTTTCAGCCTAGCTCTAAGTCATACCTCCTGCTAACGCCTGTTGAGCTTTTATATTTGGATATTTTAACAGACATCTCAAAATCAACACCTCCAAAGGGGTTCAATTGACCAACATGCATTGTGCCCATTAATTAACATGTTGAATTGAAAAACTCTCTAAACAGCTTGGGTGGAGAGAGGAAGGGTGGATGAATGTAGTCATAATATTCAATGTACAGATGTGAAAATAAAACTAGAAAAATGGAGGAGATGGGTAGAGTTAGGACAGATGGGGTAGAATGATGTAAAGGATGACATTGATCAAACTGTACTGTACTCCTAAACCAACACGTTGAAATGAAAATAGAAGAATAAAGTAAAACTTATAGAGATCTGTGGAGATTTTTCATACCTATTTATCTTGTCATTCATAAAATTAAAAATTTTAGACAAAAAAATGGCGGTCCATGCCTCAACACCAAATCCTCCAGCAGGCATTTCCATTTTTGCCAGCACCTGTCTCCAGCTGTTTAGGCCCAAACTTTATACACAACTCTTCTTTTTCCCCACACTCTGCACCTAATCTACCAGATTGACTATATTTTCCAAAGTATGCTCAGAAGCTGGCAATTTTTCACCTCCTACACTACTGCCACCTTGTCATGTAAATCACCTTTTACTTAAATTCTCACCAAACATTTTCAACAACTTTCCCAGGCTTTGCCCATGCCCTCTTCCTAGCATTTCTTCACAACACAACAGCCACAATGATTCTTGACGGTTCTGCTCAAGGTTCAGCAATGACTCCTCAGATATTCACAATGAAATGCCAGAGTCCTTAGGATATCATCAGTCCTGCCATGACTCATCTCCTGCTACTCTCCCCATTCTCCCTGCCTTAGGGTTCTTGCACCAATCTTTACTTCTGTCTACAATGTTCTTTCCAGAAGCTGATATGACACTCTTACCTCTTACAAGTTTTTGTTCAAAATGTTAGTTTTTGAGGATTTTGAAGGTTCCTACTCAGATGAATGAGTAAGATAAAAATATAAAAAGTTGTAGATCTCAAGCTTGAGCAACTAATATCATATTTATTAAAGCATGGTGTTT